TACTATGCATGTGTTTGATTTTGAAAAGATGCGTTGCCTAATATGAAAAAGAATGAGCCTGACTTGAGTGGGCCATTCTTAGCACTACTAGCTCTTCGGTTATGGAGGTCAGCCATAAAAAAGAAGGAAACATCACTGGCCTGGCGTTAGGGAAAGATGGTGAAGAACAGAAAGTTCCAGCTGCAGAGATTTAACTGATTTGATCATCCTGCACAACGGTAAGTGCAGCTCAAAGTAATGCATCGGATTAGTTATCTACGGGGGGAATGAGACAGTTAATGAATCATTTAATTATCTTTGAGGTTTTACGTTTGTATTTGCTTCAATTACTAACAAGTGACGTTTAGACACCACTAATATGTCAACTGTCTCACCTGTACATTTACTAAATTCTTATTCTGATGACAAGTAGGTACTGAATATCACTGTTCTGAATGTTAAGTTATTGACCCATTTAGTCTTCAAAATTTCATTTAATCTCATGAGGTAGATACTACCAATGAAGAAAATGAGAGGTCAAAATTTCAGTAACATGCCTAAGGTCACCAAGTAGTAAATGAAAGACATTTCGAAGTTACAGACCGAGAGCTTTATCATTAACTTCCCACAAGGGCTCTGTGATGGCACAAATCCCCCAACCACAGAGCTTCTAGATCTCTAAGGTGCATGAGTATCACCTAAAAGTCTTACTACAAAGCAGATTCTAACCCAGTAGGTTTGAGTGGAGGCTGAGCATCTAACAAGATCTCAGGTGGTATCAATACTGTGGGGTCCATGGACTACACTTTCAATGCTAAAGCACCAGGCCCCTACATTTGCACACTATTTTACCGGGAGCCAAAACTGAATTTCTAGAGCAAGTTAGTTCACTTTTAGTTTAGTGGTGACAACGAAAATATCTAGGTATTTCGGTCCAATGGAACTGCAATGAGATGACGCTTTCTGAGCCTTGTTAATGAACCTACACTGATCTACTGTTCACAAATTGGCATGATTATAAGATTAATTTAGCATATAATGATGAACAGTGATGTATAGTGTCTACTGCACTTCTTAAATACTGGGTTATTTGATCTTCATGGTAGGTCTGAGCGGTAATGGAGTATGACAAGTACGTTTGAGGAAGCAGACCCAAGGTAAGTGGCTACTCCATGGGTCTTACGCAGCAGTGACCACACACAGATGCCCAAACTCTTCTCTTCCATCGCTGACCTTTATGTCTGGTTATGTTCCATTAACTGATTAAAAGTAAATAGGTGCAAAAATAAATAAAAAGGAAAAAGACGCAGAACAATGACTGTACTGAAACAGGTAAGATGGAGCCACATTCAGGAATTGCTTTAAATACACAGATTACCAAAGCTGAAGGGAAGCATTAATATTAAGAGTAATTTTATATTACTATTCCATTAATATGAATCTATCTAAATCAACATAGCTGCATATATAAGCTTTTTGTGCTGTTAAAATCAAAATTAAAGATGTTTTCTTAGTCCTATTCACTCCCTCGCCCCCAGACCACCTCTGAGATGACATTTGTACCGTTTTTTTCCCAGACCCTCTCGGTTTGGTGTAGCTGGCAGGAAACTGGTTATTTCACCTCCTCTGTTTATTTTAATGGAATTAAATATGTTGCAATTGCTTCTTTCCCATGCAGATGTTAAAAATTTTATGAAACTATACTCAAAGTTGATCTCTAAACGTCAGATGTCTTTGCATCCTTAGAAGACTAGTATTTTCACAGAAAAAAAAAATCCCTCTGAGTTACTGTGGAGACAAAGTAATGAAGATAAATCAAGAAACGCTGTCAGTCACCAGGAAAGGAAAATTACCAGAATCTCTATATTTAAAAACACTTGAGAATAGACAGCAAAGATTCTTATCAAGCCTAGGCCTTCCAAACACATTTGTGATTTATAATGTTATTTTTTTCTTCTCATTGACAAAGGAAATAGTACCTCGATGCTTGACAGAAATGGCTGAGTGGCTTCTCCTTTTTTAAAAAAAAAGTTCATGAGACACACACACAGAGAGGCATTGACATGGGCAGAGGGAGAAGCTGGCTCCCTGCGGGGAGACTGTTGTGGAGCTTGATCCCAGGACCCCGGGATCATGATCTGAGCTGAAGGCAGGCGCTCAACCACTGAGCCCCCAGGAGCCCCAGTGGCACCTCTTTATCACTGTGTTCACTCAAACAGTTTGAACTGATTTGAAGAAAAATGAGTTTACTTTGGAAAACTTGTGTTTTCGTCAAGTGTACACTCAACTCTAAAACTAACGACTAGGTTTATTCTGAGTTTGTACCGATGCTGAGTCATCAAGTTGTACTGAACACACCGTGCAGAGGTTCTCCATAGGAGTGCTCCAAGCATGCTAAGCAACAATCCCTAGGGCCCTGTCATTACCTGAGAGTGTAGGGAGGTGTCTGAAAAGTGTCATGATGGGTGTACTGGGATGCCTATCCTCCTCCCCAAACCCCAGCATTATTTATTTCATTTTAATGGGCCTTTAGGATTGGTGATAGGGCCATCACAATTACCTGGCTGATAAAACAGAGTGTTCAGATAGAGAATCATCAGTGACTAATCATTTTCTTCCTCCATTAATTTTTGCTGGTGCCTATTTCAGAAGATATAGGTTGTACAGAAGTGAATAGATAATAGGGCTTCTGTCTACTTCTGAAACTTTTCAGTGGCTGCTCCTTCAGGACACTCGTATTTCCATCCTCAGTTTCTTGAAGGGACTGAGCTCCTCCCAGCTCTTGGCCTTTAGACTCACGCATGGTTCCCTCTGCACACAGTTTAACATCCCTAGCTCTACTCTTGGGTTTCCTCGTGATCTGGATTTTCACAGCAATACATCTCCTTGGCATTGCTTGCCGTGACTAATTTGTCTACCTCATTTAACGTGTCTTTCCTACTAAACTATCAGCAACATAAGAGTAGGGATTTTGGTTTTTTTTTTCACCATTGTATCCTTATTAAAATTCACCTTGGTTGGCCCCTAATAGTATTTGTTGAATAACGGTTGGGGAAGTCGAGGAAATTCCTGAGGGACTGCTCATGCCTACAATCATCCTCTACAATGGCTAGTGAAGAATGCTTTGTGCCTGTAAAGGTGGTTAATGTGTCATTATTTTTTTTATTGTGAAAGTAGAATCTTTTGTAATAATGAGCTGGGAATAGTCCGGATGTGATTATGAAGAATCCCTAAATGAAATCGTAAGTCCTTAATGAAAACATACTTATGATACAGTGAATATTTGAATGTCTTGGATAAAGTATTTATGAGCTATAGTTTGCAAGGATCTGTGGACCAGTATCAGGAGCAGGACTCTTCGTTTCCCCCCCTACATATATACATTAGAATGGAGCTAGTCTTAAACTACAATTATAGGTCACTCAGAAATTGCATCCTGGAGAAAGTTGTGATCTTTTAGAGTATTATTAAATGTTTGGTTATCCATTGCGACAGTTTGGAATGTTCAGTGGCATTTTAAAATTCCCGCCATGTGTTAGTTGTTGCTTCTGTTCATCCTGTTGACCCCTGAAGTATTGCTAATTAGATTTCTGATATTTAAATAATAATGAAAAACAGAGTGCTTTCATTTAACGCTATAATCATTTTTTAAGAGCTTAAGCTTATCCCCCCAAAAGCTGCAGTATGCTGGGATATATGAGTAAAAATCAATATCCAGGTGAGATATCACCATACAGTCTGCTCTTCACCAAATACATATTGAATTGTGATTCAAACTATACTTAGAACGGTTTGTAAAAAAAAAAATGTAATTTTTGAGAAAGGTTCGAAGTCTTCACATCGAGGGATGTTCTGGAAATATGCTATGGATGGAAACTTTTATTAAGTTTTGAGAATTAAGTGCCCAGAAGGAAATGTATTTACTTCCTAAAAATGCTTGAATAAGAACTATTACTTTGAATAATGTATTCTCTGTAGGTAATTGTTTAGACATTAGAAACTAGCTCACACAGGCTTGCACTGAACACATCTTTGGTTTACTCTTCTTTAAAAGGAAGGCCAACTGGGAAAGAAGATATTCCACCCCCAAAAGGCCAATAATCCTTTAAAAAAACTCCATTCTGCAAAAACTATTTTTATGGTTCCTGTGAACTCATGACAAGGAATATATCCAGGAACAAGGCTTCAAAATCTAAGCTATGTTCCATTGTTTGTAGTTACGTTGGATTTTAACTAGATGTACAAGTTGACTTCTGACCATGGGGAATCCTCGCCATGCATGGATTTATGGATTGTTGAAGCCATGGCAAAACCCAGTTCCACAGAAGCAACTTCGTGTTCTGAGGAAGATCTACAGACTGCGGCACAAGGAATATAAATGAGTGATGCCACGAGAGACAAGTGGGGTCAGCAAAATACAACCCTCAAAAACGAACTCTGAAGGTGGAGAATCTACGAGGAAAAATATTTTTTTGAAATACAGACATTCTTACATGGTGTCACTATGATGTTAAGAGCACTGACAGACATTCAGTAGCCACGGCGTGGGCTCCTGAAGCATGGAACCGCCAAAAAACCTGTTGATTCCAAGCTCAACTGTCTACTTGACAGTTGAATAAATCTGTTACCAAAAAAAACAAAACCAAAACCAAAACAAAACAGAACAAAAAAACACCCTAGAAAAACCTTCCAGCATTGCCAGAATTAAAAAAAAAAAAAAAATTGCCAGAATCGAAAAAAAAAAAAATCTCGTGTCTAGAGAGGAAAACACCAAATGAAACCATTCAAACTGCAGTAATAAAATATTTGGCCTTTAATCATTTCCGATTAAATTATATTTGAAAGCTGCCCCTCCCCCACCCAAACTCATACACAAACACACCAGTTTCTGAACATTTTATGATGGCCAAAGAAGGGGTTTCCATTGGTATGTTTATTAATGGAACTCTTTTTTTTTTTTTTTTTGGAACTGGTTTTCAATAAGTTTGCTATTTCAATAAGTTTGCTATTCCATTTTAGCCTCACATCAGTTCCATCCCATCCTCAATCCCTTTCCTGCTAACAGTTAATGTCTCAACCACGAGGAGGGCTTCCTGGGCCACTCTAGGAATGATCTGCTTGGGGCTTAAATAAGCACAGTTTAGAACGTTCTCTCTCTCTTCCTCGGCCCCCACTAGGAAAGACAAAGGCATTTGCAGAGGTAAATGGTTCTCTTCCTCTCTCGGCTCCTCCTCCTCCTCCACGGCCTCCTCTTCTGTCTCCTCCTCCTCCTCCTCCTGGTCCTCCTCCCCCTCCTCCCCCTCCTCCTCCTCCTGATCCTCCTCCTGGTCCTCCTCCCCCTCCTCCTCCTCCCGGTCCTCCTCCCCCTCCTCCACACAGTCAGCCTCTTCGACCTCCTCCTCTTCATCATCTGAGGCCTCCTCCTCCTCCTCCTGCTCCTGCTCCTGCTCCTCCTGGCTCTCCTCCTCCTCCCCATCACTCTCCTCGTTGTCACACTCGCACTCACACTCTTCCCCCTCCTCCTCCTCCTCCTGCCCCAGCGGTGCGGCGGGAGACCCGAGCTCCCGGTCGGGGTCGGGACTGAAGACGAGCGACGGGTCCTGCACGCCGCCGCCGTACGGAGCGCCCCACGGGCCGGCGTCCTCCTCCTCCTCCCGCTCCTCCTCCTCCCCCGCCCCCTCCCCCTCCTCGCCGCGGGGGGCCTCGTCGCTCTGGGAGGAGCCCCCGGGGGCGGCCTGCTGGCTCCGCAGCGCCGCCTGCTGGCGCTCCAGCTCCTCCTGCCGCATGTCCTCGTAGATCTGGTTCATGATGAACTGCGTGGTGTTCCGCGGCGCCCGCATGCCCGGCGCGCGCCACCCGTACAGGTTGACGGGCCGGAGCAGGGTGCTCAGCGCGGCGGGCGGGCGCGGCGGGGAGGGGCGGCGAGGCTGGCGGCGCGGGCCGCGGCCGCGGCGGCCCCAGCGCTGCTTCCTGCCGGGGGGCCGCGCCCAGCCGCGCTTCCAGGGCCCGCGCCAGCACGAGCAGCAGCACAGGCAGACGGGGTGCAGGCCGTACACCCGGATCACTTGCACGCGGCCGGGCCGCCGCCAGAAGCCCCCGGGGGGCGGGCGCCAGGGCCCCCCGCGGCGCCCCCCGTCAGCGGACACGGCCCAGTAGGGCCGTCGCGGTGGCTGGAACCACGGGCCCGGGCCGTGCTGCTGCTTCGGCTGCTTCCAGGGGGGCTCATACTCAGACTTGGGGCCGTAGCGGCGGCGCCGCTTGTAAATCGGGGCGCCCCTGCGCCTTCGGTGGCAGGTGGACCAGGTGCGCAACGGGGCGGGGGGCGCCCAGCCGCCGCCCAGGTTACGAGGGTCCTCCCGTGTGTAGAGGGTCTGGGTCATCGCTCACGGAGCTCGGGGAGGTGGAAGCGGAAGCGCCCCAGAAGCTGCGGTCGTTTGGCCCGAGCCTCGGGTGTGCAGAGCCTCGGGTGTGCAGAGCCTCGTCCGCCTGCGCGGCGGCGGCACGTGCCGGTCTCCGTCCGCCCCGCTCGCTCGCTCGCGCTTCCTCCGCAGTCTCTCGTCCTGCGCCCCCGAGCGGTCCGGCCCAGGTGGGCTGCGGCTGGGTAAGGCTGGGGAGGGAGGGAGGGGGGCGAATGTGGTGGTGGGCGACGCACGGGGACACCCGCTCCCGGGGCCCCCCACGCCCGCCTCGGCGGAGGCGCCGGGAGCCTGGGAGCCGGGCAGGCCGGGGTGCGCGTACCTGGCGGCTCCCTCCCCACCCAGGCGCTTCCCCGTCGGGACCCGGGACCCGGCGGGACTGAGCGGGCGCGGGCGGCGCGGCCTTTAAATAGCGGCCGGAGCCCCCGCGTGCCCACCGCGTCCTTGGTTGCCCGGGGCGACAGCCAATCGGGGTCCAGGTCGTTCTCCTTGGGCGACGGGGGGCGGTTCGGGTGGAACCAGGTGCCCCGCGAGGGTTCGCAGGGGGCTTGTGACGCAGGATTTGAAAGGGGGCAACGGAGCCCGAGGCTGGGGCAGTGCTCCCCAACTCGGAGGACGCTCGGGCCCGGTTCATGTCGAACCTGCGCACCACCTGGGGGTGCGGGGATGAGGCACCTGGGCCTAGAGTTGAACCTCTTGGAAGCGGGGTGTAGGGTTCGGGGTGGGGGGACCTACCTTGTACATTGCAAAACATGCATCCTACGCTTGGGGAGGTGGAAGGGCTAGAGGGGAAAGTGCCTGGTGTCAGAAAACTGGGCCCCACTCGTACCTTGGGGGCCGTGCACACTCCCCTAGCGCCTGGCAGTTGCAACACCTCGTTGGTGAAACGCGAGCGCACACCCTGCTAGCCCTGCTGGCTCCCCGAGGGCCCCGGGCACACAGTCCTTAGGCCCGCGGGCTCTGTGAGCTTGGCATCGCCACCGCGCCCCCCAGCTCAGGGAATCCAGAAGTTAGTTTACCCGAGGTGGTCGGGATGAGGAGCTTTGCGGCCAGTATTCATTCATTCATTCATTCATTCATTCATTCATTCATTTATTAAAGATTTCATTTATTTATTCATGAGAGACACACAGAGAGAGGCAGAGACATAGGCAGAGGGAGAAGCAGGCTCCCCATGGGGAACCCAGTGGGGGACTGGATCCCAGGACCCCCGGACCACCCCTGAGCCAAAGGCAGATGCTCCACCACTGAGCCACGCAGGTGCCCTGGGGCCAGTATTTAAACCTCAGGCAGTTTGGCCCCCAACCCCAAATTCTTAACCATATGGCTGCGCTGGGCTGCCCATTCACCCTTAAATAGGACTTTTGGGATGCGGACACGAAATCCTATGGGAAAACACTTTAGTAATTACACCATGGCATGCAAATGTCCACTGCTTAAATAAATCATCCCAGGATGTCTGGGGGTGGTGGTGGTTATTCTTGAGAATACAAATATGCCAATGGCCTCTTTTCGGATGTCCCTTTGTCTACCAGATGGCTCATACTCTGGGAGCCTTTATAACATTACGGTGAAGAATATGGGCTTTGATTTAAATTAGCATGAACCTACTCTGAATGATGCCAAAATAGTGGTGGACATATGTCATTATGCTTCCATCTCAATCCATAGAATGTACAATATCAAGACTGAACCCTAATGTGAGCTGTAGACTTTGGGTGACGATGATGAGTCAATGGAAGTTCATCAGTTGAAAGGAGAGTACTTTCCTGGTAGGGGTTGTCCGCAAGGGAAGAAGCCCTCCATGAGTGGGACGAGGGAGTATATGGGGAAATACCAAATATGGGACTGGATATGGCTACTCTACTCAATTTTAATGTGAACCTAAAACTGCTCCAAAAAAATGAAATCTGTTCAAGAAAATGTGCTTCAAGTTCAATTCAGCAATGATTAACCTCTGTAAACCTTGTGTTCCTAACCCGAACGGAGACTACGGTTATGATACCTATTCCATAGTTGTGTTAAAGGTTTCGTAAGGTACTTCATTATAGCAGCTGGTGCCGGTACCATGAGCACACAGTGGCTGTTAGCTATGGCCATTGTCACACTTCAATACTTTAGGACTTTTAAAGAAGTTGATACAGTGTATGTAAAGATAACTAACCCTGTGAGTGATGCCATGCCCTTTTCTTGGCCCACCTTTTAGAAACATCGTGAAAGTGCTACCAGGCTTGATCTTAGAGAAAAACCATCCCAGAGTATATCCCTTTATTGCTTTTCTGGGGTGAGTGGAATAGTGGAAAATGGAACATTGCACACTGGGATCCTGAGTCTATACAAGCCTCCAGTATATGACAGAGAAAGAAATGTGGGGAAGCCCTGAAGCCTACAAAGGTCATTTGTGCCTTCCTGGTTGAAAATTGAGAACAATGTGGGGTTTTTTGGATCAGGACTTCAACCCTTGTTGTGAAACCTGGAGACTCCACAGGCTTCATTCAGTTTTGTTTGCTCTGTGGTTTGCTGCTTGACTCCGAGTGCAGAATGCTGACACTTTTAGCCCCCAGTGTCCCTTCCTGGATGTAGAATCACACAGTTGGCAGTTACTATACCCTTATTCTGCTTAATTCAGATTGGAATGCTGATACTCCAGATTTATTTTTCTGAGGACATAAGTAGTATACATATTGGGTTTTAATTGGGAACTTTAGAAATTGACCGTGTTACCGTAGTAGAATTCTCATGAATTTCTTCTTTGTCTTAAAAAAAGGTTGGGGCTCAGTGGTTGAGCATCTGCCTTTGGCTCAGGGCGTGAACCTGGGGTCCTGGGATAGAGTCCTGCATCAGGCTCCACGGAGAGCCTGCTTCTCCCTCTGCCTATGTCTGCCTCTCTCTGTGTCTCTTGTGGATAAACAAATCTAAAACAAAAATTTAAAAATAAAATAAAAAATAAAAAAGATGAACTCACAGATAATTAAGGACATTGTTTTTGTATAATTTTTCCATGATGACCCGCACAGTTCATATTAATTCTCCTTACTAAAGAACATTGATGTGGTATTGTTCTTGCTCCATCCTTCGTCTTTTTAAGAGAAGCAGAAAATTATGATTTATGATTTTTAGGGTTTTTTTTTTCCAGTAGATTAGCACGGTAATTGAAATTGTTCATGACTGGTAAATCACCCGAGAAAATTACCACCAGAGTGTGTTAAACACAACTTTCAGAAATGCAATTAAAGAATTCCTTAGGACACCATTTAATTGGCCCGTATTCTTTAAAGACTGTAAGATGAAGTGTTCTACTTCAACATTAACATATAACACACTTACTGTGCTTGAACATGTAGTATTAGTTTTCTACTGCTGTGTAACAAATTCCCACAAACTTAACTTAAAACGACATTAACATTTGTTGTCTCAGAGTTTTCTGGTGTTAGGAGCCCAAGAGTAGCTTAGTCGGATCCTCTGCTCAGGATCTCGCCAGGCTATGGTCAAGGTGCTTGGCTGGCTTGGGTTCTCATCTGGGGGCTCCATTTGGGAAAATGTTATTGCAGAATTTATTCCCTTGTGACCGTCTATGCGAGAGCCCCGCCTTTTAGCTGTCCGTTGGCTGGAGGACACCTGCAGGTTTGGAGGCCACCAACAGGTTCTAGGGGTCAGCAGCCATTCCTGGAGACCGTTCTCACTTCCTTGTCATGGGCCTCCTTAGTAGGGCTGCTCATTCCAGAAACTCAGCAAAGCAGATCTCCTTAGTGCTTCCTAGCACAACGAACACACACACACACATACACACACACACACACACACACACATATGAATCATACTCTGGGCTTGACATTAGCATTTGCGACATCCACCTTCTTTGTCATATTCTATGGGTTAGAAACAAGACCCAGGTCTTACCAGCATTCAAGGGGAGAAGGTTACCCAAAGGCTTGAATACCAAGAGATGGGAAGTTCATTTAAGGCTTACCTTAAAGTCCATTCACCACATAGACCAAGTAAATTTAGTTAAATATGTTCTTCACATTAACTGGTTATGACTTTATTTGGGATATTTTAATGACATTCAGCATTTTGAAGTTCCATTAAATGCTACATGACAGCATAGGTTATGCTATGCTTTATGTTACACAGGCCATTACATGGCCAGTTGGAAAACACACTGCTATCTTGGTGTCATTTTTTGTGCATTTGTGTGAATTGACAAGGATGAATTCTAACACTTGATGGCAGTAGTAACTCATTCAAGATTCAGTCAGTGAGAGCTCAAAACAGAGAGAAGATAGGTACTTCATTTATCTTTATCACGAATATCATATTTAAACTATTCCAGGTTGCCAACGTTAATTACCCTTTATTCTGGTGCAGCGTAATTGGGTATGTTTATTAGATTTCATCATTTTTCAATTGGCTTTTAGAAAGCAAGCCTCAGCTAATTAAACCTATAAATAAAAATTTTTAGGGATAAGTTGGATATACCTGATATAGTTGGTCATATAAATAAAATTCAACAGATATTTTTTAGATCCATCTTTGGAACCCATTAAGTCCTATGGGATATTGAAAAAATAAATGGAATGTGTTTTATACACTCTCAAAAACCCGCCTTTTGCAACTTCGAAGATATCCATGTACAGTTATTTGAAACCAAAAAGGTAGGCGCCATCTGTTGGTCATAGAAGCTAAATACAAGGTAAGAAGCCTTTATAGCTTTTCAAAAAGTGAGATGAGATTAACTCCGTGTTTTCTCTTGATAATTTGGGAAGTTGTAGGGTTAGTTAGAAAATTGGTGAGGCATGTTGTGCATCAGGGAGTAACATGGTGGAACTTCCCCATTTATAAATCTTCACGTCATTCAAACACATTATGAAGAGAAACTTAACTTTGTAAAGAGGTAACTACAAGGACAGTTTCTCCAGATATAAGAAGTAAGAATGGGAATTTTGCATGCACAATAGAACTATGTGTAGGTATTATTTACTATCACCCTTTGAAAATATTCTTAATCTTTTTAATAACTTAGGATTTGCAGAGAATTAACCCAACATATTGAAGTCGGAACATCTGAAAAACATGTGTAGGCAGTAACGATCAATTAGGAATTATTATTAGCATGGAAATGTGTGTTTATAAATCATTTTAAAGTATGCTATATTATGGGGCAATAGAAGGAAGTGCCTTCCCCCAGTGAAAAATGACCTGTTAATTTTGAGAAAAATACATACGTGTAACAATTGAATAAAGGAAAAAACTTTATTAAAAAATACAGCATTTAATCAGGGGTCAGTTTTAGAATTAGAGCTTTCAATTAAGAATGTGAAGTGCTTGGGATCCCTGGGTGGCGCAGCGGTTTGGCGCCTGCCTTTGGCCCAGGGCGCGATCCTGGAGACCCGGGATCGAATCCCACATCGGGCTCCCGGTGCATGGAGCCTGCTTCTCCCTCTGCCTGTGTCTCTGCCTCTCTCTCTCTCTCTGTGACTATCATAAAAAAAAAAAAAAAAAAAAATATTAAAAGAATGTGAAGTGCTGGAAATGGCCCCTGAAATAGGATCCATTTAGAACGAATACTAAAATGCTATCATCACATGTTCAGGGCTATTGTAGCACCTTGTCCTTATAGAATTCCTGGTAAATTAAATCTGCAGGGTAGCCTTGTGAGTAGGCAGCCATAATGGCTGGGAACATGTCATTTGGCTCTGTGTTCCCACAATAATGCCCCTCTCATCCTTGTATTTTATTTCATTGCACTTTTTGTGACAGCTGCCCACCCCCAAATTTGTAGTAACAGTATTCAGGGGAGGCTATGAGGACAGAGGTTTTTAGATCATTTGTGGGGAGATCTAAGATCATCAGTAAGATTCCTGTGGGCAAAGCCTCATTATGACTTTTTCATAAGCCCCTTCCTCCATAAGAAAATTAAAATAAAATTTCTAATTTATGACTTGTTGCAGTAAAGATAAATATAAGCCAGATTAGATTCATTACTCCATGTTTGTTATCATCGTCATCATTATTGTCGTTATCTTGCTTTTTTTATGTTAAAAGAAATGACATTTTTCATGGGTCTCTAATATCATTATTGGCCCTTGGCACCTGCGGAATCCTAAACTGAGAACTCAGTTGAGTCACAAAAGATTTTTTTACCTACATGAATTGAGAGATAATAAACTGATAATTTTGAGACAATTTTTTAAAGGCAGTGATAGAAAACAGAGTTGCAATATTAGAATTCTACTTTTAGCCTGATTCAGGATAATGTATTTAAAGGCAGTATATCTAAAAAGTCAAAATGAGGGGCATCTGGGTGGCTCAATCAGTTAAGCCTCTGCCTTTGGCTCAGGTCATGACCCTGGGGTCCTGGGAACCCGGTACTTCATCAGGCTCCTTCCTTAGTGGGGAGCCTGTTTCTCACCCTCCCTCTTCCTCTGCCCCTCCCGCTGCTCTTGCTTGCTCCTTTCTCTCAACTAAAAAAAATAAAATCTTAAAATTTTTTAAGTCCAAATGAAAATTCCATTTCTAAATATCACTGGTTTATAGTGATGGATTGATGGTTATGCTTTTTTAAGTTTTATAACTTTGGGTATACAAATTATGATTAAGTGAGTGCATGATTAGTTTTACCCAAGAAAATTGATAGTCTCAAGAAAATTGATGGGTATTTTTCAATATTACAGACATATCAATGTTTGTACTTTAAATTGAAACAAGGAGATACTTATGCACCTACTGTGGAGAACCATGAGAACAATTCTCTTCAATTGCTGCACTACAGAAATTCGGAATTTAGCTGTCGTGTCTACAAATAATGGCATCCGATGGGTGACAGAGACTAATGAGAAAAATTCAGATAATATAGATGAAGAAATATATTTGCCTGAAAGGGACAGTTGAAAATAAAAATATAGATTGTATATTTTTAAATGTTAGGGGTGTACTATGGCCAATTGTCTCTTTTTTACTTTAATAGGTTAATTCAGGAATAGATTACGCAATGATGAAAAAGTTTGACACTTAACCATTTTCGAGAGGTAGAAGAGAATCATGCACTCTCCCACACTGTCGGTGAAAGTGTAAATGGGTATAACATCTTTGAAGGCCAATCTAGTAATATTTATTAAAATTTAAAATGATATATATGCTCCTTGACCTAGAATTCCACTTCTATGAATTTATCCATAGATGTACTCTCATATGTACACAAAGCTATTTATGTTTACACAAGGCTAGTCTTTGTAATTTAATTGTAACTACAAAAAAAAATAAAATGAACATTCATGTCATGGGCTGATAGATGCTTTTCAGAATCAGTAGAGCTGTATGTGCTTATATGGAAAAATCATCAAGAAATCTTTTTAGTGAGAGAAGCAAGATTTAGAATAATGATTATCTCTTGTACTTAAAAATCCATGTTTATACACATAATAATGGTGATGTGTATGTGTGTGTAGGACCTGCACATGTATATTTATATAAGAAAGGGAAATTGCAAAAAAAAAAAAAAAAAAAAAAAAAAAGAAAGAAAAGAAAGGGAAATTGCTTGGAGCACCCGGATGGCTCAGTTGGTTAAGCGTCTGACTCTTGATTTTCAGCTCAGATCACAATCTCAGGGTCATGATCTCAGCGTCGTGAGATGGAGCCCTGCATTGAGTCCCACGTTGAGCCCCGCAGAGCCCAGTGCATGCTCAGCACAGAGTCCCCTAGACATTCTTTCCCCTCTTTCCTCCGCCCGCTCTGCTCCTCCCCCTGCCCACACTGGCTCGCACACGTCTCTCTCTGTCTCAAATAAATAAATCTTAAAAAAAGAAAAGGGAAATTGCTTATGTAGAAGTTTTTATTTCTCATGGAAACTTTCACAAAAGCATTCAAGAAACCATTTCCTAGTTATTTCTCAGGAGTAGAACTTGGAGTTTGCAACTGGGAGGAAAATCATCTTTCGTTTGGTCAATCTTTCAGTTTATGACCATGTGCTGGTATTTTGATCATACATTTCAGAAAGATCAACTTTCCTTAGCAGGCGTTCCTTAGCTTCTTCCCTAGTGCGGTGATCATATCATCATCTATTTTCCATTTTCTAAATTTTACTTTATTCAAAGGCACAGAAACATACCTATAGAAGGATTTGATAGCTGTCTGGTTGTGTTTGAGGGACGAGACCAGGGTCAGGTCCTCCTGTAACACCACCATCTCACGAGATCTACCAATAAATTGCCATTTAACCAAGGGTCTAAAATGAGTAGTCATATCTCTAAGGTGATAAAATATTGTGCAAAAACTGAAGCCGCGTGTTTTATTGTTGCATATGATTATCTGTGTGTTACGATTATAATGAATATTTTCCCACAACTCCATTGTAAATTTAAAATACTTTTATTCTCGCCTTCATTTTCTTTAATAGATTTGGATATAGAAACATGCTTTAGTGAAAAAAAAAAAGAATAGGAAAGCTTAAAAACATCTAAATCTTGGCAATACACCTAAAGTGTTGATTTTGTATTTTTCTTTATTATATGCTTAACTTGAAATTGTACGGGATATAAATCCTCAAAACTTGCAAGTTACATGTGATTTACAAGAATATCTGTGAAATATTTTTTAGCACTTAGTTTTGCTCTTACTGTACATCATTTGGTTTTATTCCTGACTTACCTGGTGTTTGCTTAAAGTACTAAATTGTCATCTTAGCTCAAAACTTTTAGGTGTACACCATTTTTCAGAATACAATTTGAAAGTATCATTCTGAGCTTCTGTTTCTGAAGAGAGCAGTAAGAATTGTTCCATTGTAGTGGGCATCGTAATGCTAACCATTATCTGAAATTAGACAAGGCTTCCAATGGGCAAGCGAGGTAGGCACATGTACGCTTGAGGAGTTTTGCTGAGATTGATAGGGTTTCCATCCAATCGAATATCCTCTAGCGCCTTACGAATATAAGTCAAATTTTTAACATTGCAGAAGGTATCTTCATGCATCTCCAAAATGTTGTTATTCTAAAAGAGATGACAATAAGTAATAAGGCAAAATATAGCATACACTTAGTATTGTTTAATAACATAGTTCATTTTGCCTCATCCCCATTTTTATTCTTTTGTTCCTTCTCTTATCCAAAAAATGCATGTTATGGGATCATTACGCATCATTGGGCAACTTCTAGGCAGTAGGAATTAAGTGACTGGAGCACAGAGTAGAAATGGGCTTGCACTTCAGTAATAGAAATGAAAGGGAGGTGAGAAAACTAATTTAAAGAAAAAGTTATTTCTAAAACTGATGAGTACTGCAAAGGAAGAATGGTAACTGTGGAAAGTTATCTGAAAGAATTATAGTGATGGAGCTGAGAATGGAATAACAACACACAGGCCTGGAAAGAGCCAAGGTAGGAATATTGCAGGGAGAGAGAACACCAAGTTCATTTTGAGTAATTACAGTGGAATTTCAAGAATGGGAAAAAAAGTCAACATGGCTGAAGTAGGGATCCCTGGGTGGCTTAGCAGTTGAGCGCCTGCCTTCAGCCCTGGGTGTGATCCTGGAGTCCTGGGATCAAGTCCCACATCAGGCTCCCTGCATGGAGCCTGCTTCTCCCTCTGCCTGTGTCTCTGCCTTTCTCTCTCTCTCTCTCTCTCTCTCTCTCTCTCTCTCTCCCTCTCTGTGTCTCTCATGAATAAATAAAGTCTTTAAAAATAATTAAAAAAAAAAAAGACATGGCTGAAGTAAAATGAGGGAGAAAGTGAGCAACTGTCAGGAAGATAAACAGGGCCCAGAAATACATATTTAAAAATAGCTTTATTGAGTATATTTCACATACCATAAAATTTATTCATTTTAAGTATATGGGTTAGTGGGTTTTAAGATAGTCCCAGAATTGTACGACCATCACCATAATTTATTTTTAATTAATATTTTTATCATAATTTGATTTTAGAACATGTTAAACATCCTCCAAAAGCCCTGTAGATATTAGCAATTACTCTCCTCGCCTCCATCCCCTATCTCTAGTGCATGGGGACTTCTAATCTACTTTCTGTTTTTTTATGGATTTTCCTATTTTGGATATGTTATGTAAATAGAATCATTTATATCATCTTCTGTGACTGGATTCTTTCACTGAGAACTGCATTTTCAAGGCTTATATATTTTGTATCAGTACTTGTACTTTATTGCCTGATAATATTCCATTGTGTAGATGTACCACATTTTTATCCGTTCATCAGTTAATAGAAATTTGGATTTGGAATTTTCCAAGTTTCGTTTTTGTTGATTTCTTTTTCCAGGAAGTGTCGAGCTTTTCTGAAGCAGCTGCACCATTTTAGATTCCTACCAGCAATGTATGTGTTCCAGTTTTCTCTGCATCCTAACCAGCACTTGAAATTATGTCTGTCTTTTTTATTTTAGCTGACCAGGTGGACTTGAAGTGGTATCTCATTGTGGTTTCATTCATGGCTACTGTAGTGAATACAATTGGTATATTATATTGATTTTATAAACTGCCACATTGCTGAACTCATTTAATAATTCAGATGGTTTGCTGGATTACTTATGACTTTCAGTTTGGGGAGTATTTCCATCGTAATAACAAATCTTCCAAACCATGAAAATGGACTACCTTTGCTTTATTTAGATCTCTGTCTCTCCAGATAAAATTATGTTTGTTTAAGGAGTACTGTATAATGTTTTGATATATGTATACATTATGAAATGATTACCACAATCAAACTAATTAAAATTTTCATCACCTCCCGCAGTTACCTTTTGTATGTGTTTCCAGGAAGAACACTTAAGACCTCTCAAAAAATTTCAAGTACATAGGGTACTCTTAACTATAGTCCTCATGCTGTATTACGTTGTATCTCCAGAACCTATTCATTCTGAATACCTAGTATTTTATGTCCTTTGACTAATATGTTCCCATATCCCCTAGTCCCCAAGTCCTGGCAATCACCATTTTACTCTCTGCTACTTTGAGTTAAACTTTTTTAGATTCCACATATAAGTGAGATCTTAAAATATGTATTTATCTGTGTTTGGTTTATTTCACTTAGCATAATATTCTCATGTTGCAAATAGAATTTTTTCTTTTTTTTGAAATTTTTAAAGTATGAATAATACCCCATTGTATACATATACATACATACATATACAATTTCTTTATCCACTCACCCATTGGTAGACAGATAGGTTGCTTCCATGTCTTAGCAATTGTGAATAACGCAGTGAACATGAAAGTCTGAGACAGTGATTTCATTTCTCTTGGATATATACCCAGGAGTGGGATTGCTGGATCATATGGCAGTTCTGTTTAATTTTTTGAAGAACCTCCTTATCATTTCCTATAAGGACTGTACCCCCTACATTCCCACAAATAGTACACAAGGGTTCCCTTTTTTTCCCATAACTTTATCAACCTTGTTATCTTTAGTCTTTTTGATAATAGCTCTTCAATGAGGTGACATTTCATTGTGGTTTTGATGTGCATTTCCCTTATGATTAGTGATGTTGGGCATCTTTTTATATACCTGTTGGCTATTTGTATGTTTTCTTTTAAGAAATATCTATTTAGGCCCTTTGCCAATAATTTAATCAATTTTCATTGAGTTGTTTGAGTTTGGTACATATTCTTGATATTAACACCTTATCAAATGTTTGGTTTGTAGATCTTTTCTTCCATTCTATAGATCATCTCTTCTCTCTATTGATTGTTCCTTCTGCTCTGCAAAAGTCTTTCAACAACATGTAGCTTTCAGTCTACAAATCTTGTACTTTTCTTGTTAAAATTATTCTTAGATGATTTATTATTTTGTTATTAATATAAATAGAATTATTTCCTTAATTTCCTTTTCAAATTGTTCATTTCTAGAGAATACGTATATAATTAATATTGGTATATTGATTTTATTACCTACTACATTGCTTAAATCACTTCTTAGATTTCTTCTTAGACTCATTACTTATTAAGGAAAGTGTTGTTTAATATCCATATGTTTGTGAGTTTTCCAAATTTCCTTTTTGTTGATTTCTATTTTAATTCCATCATAATCAGAAAAGTACTTTGATAGGTTTCAGTTCTGTTCAATCTGTTGTGGCCAATTTTGTGGCCTAGTATATGATCTACCCTAGGAAATGTTCATTAAGCACTTGCGAACAACGTAACATTTTGCTATTGTTGGATGAAGTGTTCCGTAGATGACTGTTAAGTCTAGTTGATTTTTAGTGTTGCTAAGGAGTTTTTTTTTTAATTTTTATTTATTTATGATAGGCACACAGTGAGAGAGAGAGAGGCAGAGACACAGGCAGAGGGAGAAGCAGGGTCCATGCACCGGGAGCCCGACATGGGATTCGATCCCGGGTCTCCAGGATCGCGCCCTGGGCCAAAGGCAGGCGTTAAACCGCTGCGCCACCCAGGGATCCCTTGCTAAGGAGTTCTTGAATTATTTCACCATTGATCTTATGGCTAGTTGTTCTATCCATTATTGAAAGTGAAGTATTAACATTCCAACTTATTGTTGAACTATCTATTTCTCCCTTCAGTTCTGACAGTTTATTCTTCATACATTTTTGAAGCATATTGTTTATAATCATTATTCAATGTGTGTTATATATTATATATAATATACAATAAATTATATCTAACAATATAATATATTGTTAGATACATATATGCTTATAAGCATTAAATCTTTCTAATCAATTGACCCTCTTCTCATTGCATAATGTCCATAAGGGATAAAAGTTTTAGTGCCTATGTGCTGTACTATTCCCTTTGATAGGTAATAGGTACCTGCTGTTAATAACAATTGTGACTTACATGTAAGTACTTATCATGTTCCAGTAATTATTATTTGCTTTATAAATTAAAACTGTGGTGCAGGGAGGCTCACGTATTTTGTCTAATCTTTAGATAGTATTGGAAGTTAGAATTTCAGCCCAAGGAATCTGTTTTTGCCAGAGCCTTCATTCTTAATTACTATACTATGTTTTGGCAAACATTTTGAAATGAACCAAACTAAGGGATTTTTATATAAGCATTAAAATATAAATTGAAAACAATGTAAATTAAAAACAGCTATTTACTCGATATTGGTGAAGTGGTCATTAGAAGAGATTGTTTTAAAAAGAGTTCATTGAATGCCTTTTTAAAGCTTAGAATAGAGAATATGAAGCCAATTACTTTTTTAATGTCACATTGTATACACAATCCCATTGTGTTTGAATAAACATCAGAGATGCTGTTACTTTCTAGGGTCAATATTATCACAGGCAATTGTAATAAAATTTAACTCAGAATTAGAAAACACATTGGAAACAGATTTTCTTAATCCAGAGAGATGAATATCTGTCATCTCTCAGCAGATAGGAATGCCCTAGGATTGAATTTAATTCAATACATAAAATCTAAAATTAAAAGCTAAAATTGATACTTTTTTCTCCTGAAAGCTAGAAATCAAATTAGGTTTTTCTTTCTCCCATTTTCTCTTCCATTTCTAATTCTTATACATTTCTTCAGAAGATGAAGTTTTCATTTTGTTTTTGTTTTTGTTTTTTTTTTCAAAAGTAGTTTTGGGTGCCCGAAAGATGCATTATGATTTAACAAAGACTGAAAACCTCTAAATACTAAGATTATCAGTAATCAATCAGTATAGACAGAGGCATGAAGACCTTGCACTCAGATGGAGAGAGAGAGAGAATGAGAGGAGAAAAAGAAGAAAAATGGTGACAGTGCATCAACAGGCCATTATAAACAGTCTTTGTGTCTCAACTTCCTCTTCTTTGCTTTTGTTTTTCATGGAGCTGTTTGGCATACCTTACCAGTAGAAGCCTACCTGGAGGTGAAGGGCCCGTAGGTTTTCTGGGAGTGGCAGAGGGATGTGGTCCAAATTGTTATCAGTGAGGTAGAGATGATGGAGATCATACATATCCTGTAAATATTCCAAATGTAGGGACTTAGTGGAAATTAGTGGAGCCACAGTTGTATTTTCCATTCCCTGTTCATACAACTATTTGTAAAATAGCACGTGCCTGTCAAGATCTGGTTTTGCAAAGGTGAAGGAGATTAGTTTTCTCAGGTTACTAGACAATTCAAGTGAGTTTGGAAAGAATTAACTGTAAGCAAATATTTCTTGATGAAAATGCAAAGTGTTTCTCAATCTCTACAAAGAACCTTGCTTTGTTCTCTCTAACTTACTCAGTTTAAGCAAGGCAGTGTTTTTCCAGGGAAGACACTCTGCAGAGGATTTTGAGGATTTGGGTAAGACGTAGGAGGAATGTCCTTCATGTTACAGGGATGGAGAAAAGAGAATTTCTCTCCAATAAAATCCTCTTCTCTCTCATACAAGTACCAGGAAAAGAGCCACCTGCTAAGAGATATTGTCTTGCTAAGACAATAAATATTTAGACAACAACAGGTCTACTCTCCAGCCAGACACCACAGAACAAAGTGTGACTCACCACTGCCCATGCCAACAAAAGCTGCTGAATGGGGAGACTGAACTTTGACCCTTGGCAGGCTCTAATGAGGTGGCCCAGCTCCCTTGCCTACCAGGGTAGTGTCCCAGGAGAGCTAATGGAGAAACAGGACTTTCGCCATTGCTCAGTCCTAATGGGTCCACACAGCCCCCTGAATGCTCCCTGTGTCCTTTCAAACAGTATTTTAAATTTGCTCGTTTAACAGAGATTGAGAAGGACAGTTTGGATACAGTAAGAGTGGGTAAGAAAGCTGGTTGGTGGGTGTTCCCTTACTCTATGCTGTTATTCTAAGTAAGACCACCTCGCCCCAAACTTGCTTTCTTCACTCAGAAAACACAATCTCTCTCTCTCTCTCTCTCTCTTTTTTTTTTTGAAAACACAATTTCTAAGATGAACTGAATCCATCCTTTTTTTACAGGTAATTAAAAAGATTTGAATGTCAAGGCACCACCCACACCCTGCACAAGTAGTTACCCTTAAAGCCACATAAAATATTCGCCTTGAATGGAGTTCTTGGAAAATACAATTTGTCTGGCTTGTACCATTTTCAAGTGCTCCTTATAGATTCATGTTCCAGGTAGTTACTCACTCTTTATTCCAGTTCTGTTCTCTGTTCTTGCTGTTTAACCAGCCTCAGAACTTACCAAAGCGCAATATTTCCCCAAAGCTTGATAAATAGGATTGTATAGTTTATTTTAGGAGGTAAAAGTCTCATCACATTGAATCTCCTTATGGAAATAAAAACGCTAGTCATTGACATCAAAATGGGAGGGAAGGATGAAAGTCTTCCATATCCAAATTCAAAACTCACTTTAAATGCTTCTTGTTTTATTCCTTTCCTTCCCAGCCTATTGTTGCTGATATCAATAAATGTCAAAGTGTTTGGCAGTTCTGGGAGCTGCCTTATTTTATTGTCACGCAGGACGAGCTCCCGGAGGTGAGGTAGCTTTCTGAATGCATCCTCATCAATCTCAGATATTAGATTTGAGGTCAGATCAATCCTTCTTAAATCATCTAGAAGGAAAAATGAAATAGTTAGATACGTATGAATATGCTTTGCTTGCATAAAAATATGAAGAAAAATTTTCTCACATATAAGCGAAGATAAATACGAAGTTAATTAGGAATGAACAATAAAAGAAATAATTATGTATAACTACTTTATATAAAAATTCAATTGTTTTCACCCGATACTATACATATTTATGTACTTGTAAGAAAGATTAACTTCAACAAGGAATTGATACATTATATTTAAAATAATTGGTCATTTCCCTATATTCTTCATAAGCTTTGTCTAGATTTTTACTATTTAAAAGGTTTTCCTCAGTGATGACAGATTGCTATAGTTTCTAATAGTAATAGATATATTAGCATTAAAATACAAAGGCATTAAAAAGAAATTTTCAAATGATTAAAACACTTTATAAAGACAAGTATTAAAGTTCTTCTAAGTTGGCAGCAATTATAAAGTCAGAATGTAGGCTTGTATGCATCAATCATAAAGCAATTGTGCTTTAATGGAAGTCTATTCAAACAATCCAAATTCTAGTAAATATATGACCATGACGTTTTACTCAATGTCTTAACATGATAACGGGTTCTAGCCTATAAAATATACATATTTATGGTTCTATTTCTTAAAAAAAATTAAAGGTTTTATTTATTTATTCATGAGAGACAGAGAGAGAAGCAGGCAGAGACATAGGCAGAGGAAGAAGCAGGCTCCACACAGGGAACCCGATGTGGGACTCAATCCTGGGTATCCAGGATCACGCCCTGGGCCGAAGGCAGATGCTCAACCGCTGAGCCACCCAGGCGTCCCTCTTAAAAATATTTTATTTGAAAATGTCAACTATGTAGTTTCATCATGACCTTTAACTCTTCATCATATAATTAAAACAAACCTTCAAATATTTATATAAGGAAAAAAAGTTGATTTATGAGACATTTTCATATTCAAATTTCATTTTTAGTACCAACATTTTATAGTGCTAAAGTTTAGGAAAGTCTGTAAGGAAGACAAAGATATTAGTGTTATCATACATACCTGGGCTTGCAAAATCATTTTTGTTGATCTTTTTAATTCTGTTGAAGCGGGAATAGAAATAAGCAGTGTTCTTGGGCAGTGGAGGAATAGCATCAAGTTCATGATCATCACAGTATACAGTGGTGCTTATACATGTACATAGAAGACAGGTTGGAAAGTCTAAAAGGTAGAGGCAAATAATTATATGTAAGTAACAAAAGCAATTTCTAAGAAATAATGTGATTAGATGTTTGCTAAATAAGTTTAGTCTCATGCAGACCATCCTGGTATATTTCATATTTTCTCACATGGTTTTCTGTAAGTGGAAATTAAAGTCAAGTGTACCAACCAAAGCAGCCACAACAATTAGTATATTCTTTGTAATGTCTTACATTTTATTTTAAATTCCAGAGTGTGGTTGTTGCTTTTATACTTATTAGAAATTCTCTTTTCTGATGTAAATGTTAAGACTGTGGTTTCTGTAAAGTTAAAATGTCACACATACTATTTTTTAATTAGGCCTTTGGTTCCATATTTAAAAACCACACTGAAACAAAATCTGCTTCAAGAAAAAAGATAGGGTAATCATCATTAATATTAATTGACTCAATCTCTAATTATTGAATCCTTTCTAGGTAAATGACACTGTGCTAGCTGGTGAAACAGTGAGGAGCACAAACAGATACAATTCTATTTATGATCTTCTATGGCAGATACATGTGAATAACACGAATAAAATGATGACTGTGGAAAATGTTATGAATATAGGAGCATAAAATAGGGGAATTTGACTCAGTCTGACAGTCATGGTTCTCTGATGAGGTGAAACCAGAGGTGAGGTCTGCAAGAATGGAAGGAGTTGACCATGCAGGTGGGAGTGAAGAGTATACGGCGGAGGAAGCAGCATGCGCCAAGGCCCTTCACTTTGGAGGGATTACAGAGAGCATTGAAGTGTATGGACAGACCACACAGAGGCCTTAGGGGCTGTGTTATTACAGGTGTCTTTCTTATCCTAAGGATGGGCAGGGTATTGCATAATCAAATTTGCATCTTAAGAAATCACTCTGCTTGAAGGTGTAGTAGAAGACTGAGGGAGGGCAAGTGGACAGATTGAAGTTGAGCTGTTGTCTAGATAAAAGATGATGGTTACTTGGCTGAGATCATGGTGAGGTGTTGAAAAGGCAACAGGTCCAAAAGATATTTATGAGGCTGGATTATATCTCCACACCTTGGTCTGTCTCTACTATGCACGTGCACCTGCGTACACGCCTCCTACACTCCCTGTTTCCTGGTCCAGTAGAGGACAGTGAGCTTCTAGGGAAGAGAGAAAAGTGATGACCAGATGGAAAGAAGGAAGACAGAAAGGGGGAGATGTTATGGAGGCCAGTGGAGAGAGAGAGAGTCTGAAGGACAAGGTAATAGAAAACATTCAAAAGCGCTGAGGTGCTCAGTAAGTTAAGGACTGAAGATATCTGTTGGATTAGTCATCGTGGTGATTACAGGCTGCTTCAGCAAGAGTTGAGGAGTCATGGGGCCGGGAGCCAGAAGAACAGTCATTTGAGGAGGGACTTGGGGGTGCAGAAATAGTGACAGCAAATGTAGACAACGCTATTGAGAATTTGACAGTGAAGGAGGAGAGAGATGGTGATAGGTTTCAGCAGATATATTTGCAGCATGTAAATTGACCGAAGCAGGGGCAATTTAAAGAAAAAGGTCCAAAGTAGGAGAATTTGACTCTTAAAAGGATACTGAGAGGGCAGGAGGAAATGGGACCAAAGCACAGTGGAAAGGATTGCATCCTACCTGTGAGAGGACAGACAGTTGGTCTGTTGAAATAGGAGAGGGAGATAAGGTGTATGCAGGTGCTTGTAAAGATTACATCTGAAAACAGAAGATTGAAAGGCTGCTACCCAGGAGATCGCATTTTACTCTGTGGAGTAGGAGGCTCAGCTTGAGGAGTAAAGGGAGGAGAAGAAGGGTGGTAAGATGTGAAATGAACAGAGGATGTAAAACAGCCATGAAGACTACATGGAAGTGATGCAAGAACTTTCTTGTGATTGCTCAGTGGTCAGTTCATCAACCAGGTCACTTTCCTGTTTTGTTTTGGTTTATTTTTTTTAAAGATTTGATTTACTTATTCACAAGAGACACAGAGAGAGAGGCAGAGACAAAGGCAGAGGAAGAAGCAGGCTCCTTGCAGGGAGCTGGATGTGGGACTAGATCCCACTACCCTGGGATCACGGCCTGACCAGAAGACAGACGTTCAACCTCTGAGCCACCCAGGCGTCCCTCACTTTCCTGGTTTTAGCTTTGAACTCTCCCACCGTGGGACCTCTCACTCCCAGGTGAACCAGGACACTTGGCTGCCTGAGTTGAAGGATCCATTTGTGGTTTGTGATCAAGAACTAGTTATGCACCTACTGGGTCTTCTTACTATCATTAAGTAGGAGTTATTTATAATAATAGCTTTGGGAATGAAAACTATTTTAGAACTGGAAATCTAGGAAAGACAGTTTAAGGGGAAGTTATAAAATATTTAACACCAATTTTTCAGATCATTATAAATTAATATTTGCCACTTATAAAATGTTTTAAAAAGTAAGGCATTTGACTCTTCTATGTATTCATGTCTTTGCTAATTTAATAATAATTGCTTAGGGTAATTTATATATATTCACACCAGTTATAACTTAATTCTCTTTTTTCCACTCATAACCCAAGTCTACTTTATATTGCTTCAGAACACTGTTTTGAGAAATTGGTATATGAATAGTAAAAAAATACGATATTTTGATTACTAATGCTCTAAATATTTCTTTCTAAGCCATTTAACTTTGATGAACATTTAATATTTAAATTTCATCTTAAGGTTTAGAATTTCTGGCAATGCTTCATCCATGGAAATTAAAATGTGAATTGAGTTTTAACTTCATTACTCACCTTCAGACTACTTTGGAAATAACTTTTTTTCCCCCTAAAGTCATAGATTTTTTTATATGGTTTCAAAGCTGACATTATTAAGCCATAATTTTGACTAAAGCTTTTGAAAAGATTGGGCATCATGTTTTTTGTTGTGCTTGGCTCGGCTGAAAGATCTGAGTATAGGTAATTAGTCAACTTTTGACAGATCTGAAATTACTTAAGAGTGAGTAATGTTCCAGATAAATTTAATTGCCTTATTGGAATCTTTCTTCTGGGTACTTACATTTCCTTCTATTGTAGATGTATCTCCTTGGTTTTATTTGTCGAGTGCTCTCCTACTCCGCAGAATGCTAACTATGTGGAAGGACTATGGTGTATTCACGAGAGGTACTGGCTTAGGATTTAGTGGTCTCTTTTCGAATTTCAGCACTGCTGTGAACCACCTCCATCATCTTGGACAACTTCTACTCTATGTTGGGGTTTTAGCTTTCCTACTTGTAAAGTGGAAATAATAATACCTAGTACACAGTATCATTCAGACTCTTCAAAGAATTAATATACCTGAAACACTATACTGGTTTGCGTAGACACCACATTTTACAAAAGACAACGTGTTACACCACTTATTGGTGGACAGTTAAAAATCTGGTAGGTGCGGAGAGTCGATTGGTGGTTACCAGGCACCGGGTGGGGAGTGATGAGGGTTTATTGGGCAACACACACAAAGTTTCAGTGCTGTAAAATGAGTAAGTTCTGGAGATCGGCTGTACGGTATAGTGCCTAGAGTTAATGAAACCGTATTGCACACTGAAACATTTGTTAAGAGCAAAAAATAAACTTATCAATAATAGAGTAACGAGAATAACTGACATTTATTATGTTTATTATGAGTCAGGCACTAAATCCATTCATTTAATCCTTATGATAATGCTTTGAAGATCTGTTATTTATGATCCCATATTTTAGATGAGGAAGCTAAGGCAACACTAGTGAATGGCTTGCTCCAGAATGTGTAACCAGCAAGTCCCAAAGTTGGGATTTGAATGTCCTCCCTCCCTTTTGTTCTCTCAGTATATTCTGCACACAATACTGTCATATTACCCACAACACATTATTGCCTCCTCATCTGTTTGCATGTCTGTCTCCCTGTACTAGATAAAACTATCCATGAGAACAGTCATCATTTTAAGATAAGTTTTGTTATCTCCAGAACTTACAGTACAGAGACACTCCAGTGCTGTGCTAATGAACCTTTGCAGTGGGAACTCTACTCATTTTCCCACACCCCCTTGCTATGCCATTCCCTGTATGGGAAAGTATCCTGGTGTGAGTCCATCTGAGTACCCCCAAGGAATGCACTGACAAATTCTAACAAGAAACATAGACAGATCATAGAATCAGGTTGAACACCGGGAGCTTTTTCTCATTAACAAAAAGGCCCTGGTTTAGATCACCTTCAGGTTGTACAAGAGGGAGTCCAGTGTTAGGGAACACCTTCCACTCTTCTGTTCCCCAGGACTGAGTGAGAAGCAGCCCATGTTCCAATAAATACACAGACAAGAATCAGGACAGGCTGGCTTTAAACCCAGTGTGTGAAACTAGCTGCTATGTGATCTCTGACAAGTTTCTACTCTTTTTGAGCTAGTTCCCTTTGTAATAAAGGCCTAAGGCCTTTACATGGCAGTTGTAGTCATTAAATGAGACAATGTGAGGTGCTGAGCATGTGACATTGTGACACATAGCATGTGCTCAATCAATGTAAAATATTATTACCATCACCATCATCATAATCAGCCATCCTTACCTTCTCACCCTGAGCCGCTGTGGCCTGCACTGTCAGGCATAAATTTTCATCTCACTGGTAGTGTAGTGTATTCTTTGTTCTAGAGATGGATCCCACCCCAAGGGTTTTGAGTTATGATGCTAGATAAATACTTTCATCCCGAATCTTTGGATATTTGATCATTTTCATCATGCTAAAGCTGTATTATTAAAACCGCTTTATAGTTGTTACAAAATACATGGGTATCTCCTGCTTCTAACCCAGCCTATGGCACAACTTTCTCTGTGGGTGGTGCGGATGGTCTGTGGCATTGGGGCTCGGCAGTTCTGAGGTATAACCAAGTGGACTTAATTCAAATCAGCCTTGATGGGCCTGACCTTCATTGGTGTGTGGGCCCAGAACCCCGGTGAATTCAGGCTCCTGTGGAGAAGAGCCATCGATGAGTCTGGGGGTGGACTCCTCCTCCTCCTCCTCCTCTTCAGCCTCCTCTGGCTGTGGGGGTGGGGTAAGGAGCTCTCTATTCCCAGAAGGCATCACTGTGGCTATTTCAATCTGAAAAAGAAACAAAATTTCATCAGGCAACCTTCTCACCCTGTGAGGCAGGAACACAAATTTTGAGTGTATCCACTTTGGCCACAAGAGGTCACTGGTGTTCTGAAGTTGGACACTGCAGGGCCTGCTCCCTGGGAGGGGTACATGTGGTTCTAGTTACTATTATTGTTGGTTTTAATTAATTTTGCTTCTCAAATCTTAGTAATAATTTCCAATGCCCATGGTTTTCGGTTTGTGGGTTTAGGCTTTTGCTTTTTCAAACATTCTTACATGTTTATTCATTTTTAAAAAACCCTCATTTATTGTTTTATAAATACATAGCATTGCAAGAATGCATTATTGTGGTGGAAGATTCAAATTAATCCAGAAGTGTGCAGAATAAAATCCCAAAGTCCTTTTAATCCTGAAGTCCTGACCATTCCCTTGGAAGATAAAAACCGTTAATAAATGAAGGTGTATATTCTAGTCCTTTTAATCTTGGTTTCCTAGGTTCAGATATTCTGGTTTGCTTGTTTGTTTGTTTGTTTGTTTGTTTTTTAACAACTTACGCTTCTTCCACTTGTTTTACTGTAAAGTATCCTTTCTCCTAAAAGAAAAGTATATATGGAGATATGAAAACTATATGGTTCGATTATGTTGTGCCATTTCTCATATGCTTTCAATATTATTTTGAGTAACAAGCAGTACCAACAACATTTGGGTTTGTTAAAATTGACCTTTTTGAGAGCTTTTACAACAGAGGGCATTTATTAAAATTGAAAAAATACTCAAATATTTTCTCAGGGATTATATTTTATATTCTACTTGGTTTTCTCTTCTTGCATATTTTAGGTAATGAGGAACTGCCCTTAAGAACACTGTTTGCATTTAGAATAAATCCTTCTCTCAAATCCCTTCCCATGCCTCAATGAGACAATTCTCCTGTATTGCTTAAAAAATGTCTACCTCCCTGACAATATTGTTACCTTAGGCAGGAAATCTGTTCAAGACAGTTTGCTAGTAAAATGCAGCACCCACTTTTGGGGGCACACTTTTTTCATGACATCCCCAGGAATCCCAGCTTCCCCTTTTATCACCCTGATTGGGCTGCTTGATCCTTCCCATCCTTCTTTATTTGCACTTATTAACCAAGCAAAATAACACACAAATTACCTTCTACCTTATTTAATGTCAAAAGGACACGCACAATATTATTTTTGTGTATAAAATAAGTACATGATTAGGCCAGATATTCCCTGAGTATTTTAGATAGATGTTTTATTTCATCACAACATTTTTAAAGATACACTTATTATTTAGTATTATTTTTTTATAAATTTGAATACATTGTTTCACAAATGAAAAATTATCCTTTTAAAGGAACACTAAGCTCTCTGGTCAGTTCACACTTTTGAATTGTTTCTCTGTTTCTGTAGACTTTCCTCATTTCCGCCCTTTCTTTGAAGGGCGCTGCACTGTATTGTGAGGGCTCCATCTGCACTGCACTGTATTGTGAGGGCTCCATCAATTCGTGCCTATCCAAGCCCACTAGATGGTACACTCCGAGTTACATGTTTTAGCTTTGTAACTCAAGGCTGTAGCATAATAGGTGATCAACGAGTACTTATTAAATATAATTTTAAAATTGCTTGTCCAAAATGTATCTAATTCACAGCCTTATATTTAATTTCAGAAATTCTACTGATAAGAATCATGAATGTGTTCACGCTCACTTTGATGCACTTAAAGCATGAAATCCAACCAGAAGCAGCTCATATTGTATTCGGTGCATTAGGAAGCCATACATAAAGATATTGTAAACCTTGGCCAGAAATCTCCACTTGCGAAGATTGGGCATACTTCCTTAAACAGGGAGACATACGGTTTCCATCTGCAGGATCAGAATGAAGCAGATTTAGAAGGAATAGATCTGCAGAGACCAAAAGGAGGCTCCAGGAAGGGCGGAAATTGAGACAGATGTTTCATGGAATGGAGGCAGCCTAAAGGGAGAAACACATTCCAGACACGTTGCCTTGAATCTTCAGCTTTGTAGGGAAAATGTTTGCACATACTTTCTACAGATAATTGTTTTTCCACTGATCTGATGTGAAGCTGTAAGATCTCACTTGTCATCTGATATAATGAAGCAAAACCAGCTTTTGTGTTTATCAGAACCTGTTTTGTTCATGCTTACTTGCTAATAAAATGTGAACGTTGAACAATTTTGAAGACCAAGGAGAAAGAATGCTTTTTCAATTCAGCGAAATCCCAAAACTGTAAACTCAAAATGCTGTTCCTGGTAAGCTTTTCGAATCGCAGATGCATTTATTCTCACTATTGAATAGAAATGATTTAGGCTTCTGTCTTTTTTTTTTCTTTTTCTTTTAACAATTTTCATACTGTGTTATGAAGTTGTAAGGCAATGCAAGCAAAGAAACGAAGCCAAGGAAGTATGACCACCTGGCTCTCCATGTGGCTGACTTTTATGCTTATGCTACAGAAACCTAAATTTGGGAATAAACACAAATGGCCAGAAAACATCCCAGCCCCTTTTTCTCAAGCTACAACTGGCAACACTCAAATGCAGATATAATGAGGACTCTGATATAGATATCCATCCTTCCCAAATTCTCCTTCATTATTTTTCCTTTCACCTCCTTGTTTTACTCTGACCTGAACTCCTCCTGAATTGTTTTAAGCCAATACTTATTATATTTACTTGAATTTTACAAACACAATAAATACAAAGGATCACTCCTGCATATGGCCTTAGATTTGGCCACCACTGTGCTTGCATATCTTCTCAACATAGGACCAGCAGGGCATAGCTCTGAGTTGACTTATTTGTAATAAGTTGTCTATTTCTTTCACCTTTTTACCAGGCTTTAGAACTATAGATAGTTTATGTCATGGTAGACTGTGTTTAGGAGTGCATCCCATGCCCCTGAAAGAGTATGTCTATTCCAGAGATGACAAATGCCTGGCCCATAGAGTGACCTGGGTGGAGCAAAGTGTCAGCAGATGTCAGATTGGAGTGATAATAGGGCCAAGAAGAATCATCAGACCTGCTTCAGCCTCTGCACCCCACGCAGCCTTGACTCCATGTAAGCAGTCCAGCACCTTTTTTCTTTTTTTCTTTTTTTTTTTTTTTTTCTGTGTCCACCACCGTCACCATAATCTAAGTCACTACCCTGTCTTGCTGGGAATACAATAGTCTACTTACAGGAAGTTGGCACTTCTTCCATTATACCTTCACTCAATAATGAGAATAAGCTCTTAAAAAGACAAAGCTGATCATGTCAACCTCTGCTTAAAATATTCAAATGGCTTTTTTATTGTTCTTAATGCACAAGAACAGTGGCCTTGCAGAAGCACAGAAACATTATTGGTTAAGAGGAAGGATTCTGATAACCTGAACATGACTTTAGCCTACCTCTGAGGCTTTGGGTGAGTTACTTTACCTCCTGGACCTCAGTTTCTCCATCTGTAAAATCCTGGTATATATAGTATATAGTACAGCTGTGTTAGGATGAAAATGTTACTACACATAGTTAAGCGCCATGGAAATTTACTATTATTATTTGCTATTTTCTTTTTTGCTATTTTTATTTTATGTTTGCTATTATTATTAAAATAAATTCGGGCAGCCCCAGTGGCTCAGTGGTTTAGCACCACCTTCAGTCCAGGGTGTGATCCTAGAGACCTGGGATGAGTCCCTCATCCGGCTCCCTGCATGGAGCCTGCTTCTCCCTATGCCTGTGTCTGTGCCTCTCTCTCTTTCTCTCTCTGTGTCTCTCATGAATAAATAAAATCTTTTACAAAAATAAAATAAATTCAAAACTCTTTGACTTACAAACTCCTGCATGGCTTGACCCTTCTAGTGTCCTCTTCCTCCATTTCATACCAACTGGGCTCTTCTGCTGCACTGATCATCTATAATTTCTTATGCTCCTTGTTCTATAAGACATTTGCATGTACTAGTTGCTCTGCTTGGAATTCCCAACATTCCTCACTTTTTCCCCATTCTTATTTTATTTTTTAACAGCTTTATTGGCAGTCCAGTAAATCCATGTAGAAAAAGAAAGTAAAATTATGTATACACTGAGATTCTTGTTGACTCATTGATTTTCACTTAAGGACGAAGAGATCATTGTTTCTATTAGAATAAAAAATATAATGCAGATTTAATTATAGATATGAATAGGGTCTAGGATAGTGTCCCAGTGAGGTTTCCATTCCAATAAATTGAAGTTACTTTAGATTGTTCTCATGATATAAAACTGACCTTAAAAATGCACAAGAAGGGGCACCTGGCTGCCACAATGGTTGAGCATCTGCCTTTGGCTCAGATCGTGATCCCAGAGTCCTGGGATCGAGTTCCTCATAGTCTCCCTTCAGGGAGCCTGCTTCTCCCTCTGCCTATTTCTCTGCCTCTCTCTGTCTCTGAATAAATAAATAAAATCTTAAAACACACACACACACACACACACACACACACACACACAAGAAAAGAGCATTCCTCCCAAGCGTTCGGGAGCAGCTTCCTGACTCTTGACTTACTAGTGATATTAGTACAGCTAAAGAAAGAAAAAAAAAGTGAAGAGATTGGCAGCCTAAAAAAATCAAGTTCAGGAAAGAATGGTTTATTATTGTTGCCAGCATTGTTTGGAGGAAAGAAATATTAAATTTGTTGAATATACACCAAAGTCACTAAAGAGATCATCTCTGATATGAAAAGAAGTTTTACTGGATCTCATCAGGGCCAGATGAAAAGTAACTGGCATGGATTGAATATTCATTATGTGAGAAACTGTTACGTTCTTTCCATTGATTCATGTGTAATCATCAGAAGAAATCTGTAGAAGGTGCAATAATCGTGCACATATAATAGATTTGTAAACTGAGGACAGGAGGCAGAGGACCAAATAAATTGCTGGAGGTCACAGAATTTCTAAGTAGTTAGGCCAAGATTTGCATCTAGTGCTGCCTCAGACTGCTTGCTATACTTAATTTTGATTCTG